AATAAAATTTTACCTTTAAAACACGATATAACACAAATTCACTCCTTGCCATTGTTGCATTTATAGTTTCAATTTTTTGTAGCACATCTTATTCTTGACAATTGTTTCCGGCCAAAAATCTATTATGATGGCGTCGAAAGACTTCTTTGCCATCACGTTTTTAAAATAAGTAAAAAAATAATTAATACAATAGTGCCACGTAATAAATCTTTCTCAATTCAAAGCACGCTAACACAATGTTTATGCATAAACCATTATCAAATACCATGTAAAATGATCCTTATAATTTAAATAGTCCTTATAATTTATAAAGATATTGTAAAATGATTCAATTGAATCGTTTTTAATCAAGTGCAATGATCAATATGACAAGAACGTCAAACTATTATTTAAAAGGGGAATAAATATTATTTGGTGAGAGAAGGTCGTATTACTTTATATGGTAAGTTTTTATAGAAATAAATTTTATATCTCGTGTTACTTTAACACTTATCAATCAAAACGATCCCACTACATCAAGACACTTCTGACATTGTCCAAAAATCATCTTTTTTTCTCTGACAGTCAATTTAATTATTTGACTTGCAGCTCGAGACAAAATACCGACCTTTCATTTTATAGATTACAAAGACGTATCTTTTTTTAATATATAATTGAATTGCTTGAATTGGAATCGAATTGAATCTCAATTGCGACATCAGTAGCAATACTACTTGTTTGTTCGTATCTAGAAAACTACTCATCACATTACTCTCCATCGATGTTTTTTAGTATTCTTGTAAGTAAAGCAGAAAGAGCAAAAAAACAAGTGATTAATTGAGAAACCCCACTAAACATTTTGACAATCAAAAGGCTAGTGATGAATTAGGTCATTAGGTTCAACTTATTCAAACTAATGTCTAGATTCATTGTACCTAAATCCCAATTTGTTGGAACTAGGAAGTCACTTTTTTCGAGCAATTTGTCTACTGTTTTATCTAAGGCCATCCCACAAACTTTGAAAGTCGGTCCCGGATTCAAGATTTCAATAAGAGGGAAAATGATTTGGTGTCTAGGTTCAATGAACCTAGACAACCGCCGACCAGTACAGTAGGACTTAATTTTCATGATTTACCATGTATGGTGGTGTATGGGTGGCGTTCATTATGGGATGGGACCATTAACAATTCGTTTACTTATAAAAACTGCATCTAAGGTTAAAATTTCATTTTTTGAATATGTTTGAATAATTTTTTAAAAGTATTTTGCTTGATTATAGAAGTTTTTAGAGAAAATTGATATAAAATAACTTTATCAATAATTTTTTTTTTATAAATATAAGGGTCCGTTTGATTGCAAGGGTGGAAAATGGGTGGAAAGAAAATATTTTATAAGGAATTGATTTTCTTAGAAAATGTTTTATTGGGAATTGTAATTAATTGTGTTTGATTTGTATAATTTTCCATGGAAAATGTTGAAAATTTGGTGTCCATTTGACTTCGTTTTTTATGGAATTTGTCCATTAAAATGATAATTTTTTC